AAGGAAAGAAGGAAGGAAGGAAGGAAGGAAGGAAGGAAGGAAAGAAGGAAGGAAGGAAGGAAAGAAGGAAGGAAGGAAGGAATGAAGGAAGGAAGGAAGGAAGGAAGGAAGGAAGGAATCTTCAGTTCTTTCTATAGCAAAGAGCCTGTGTTTACACTGCAGGAAACTCTGGAGTTATCAGTGGTGCTGGTGACAGTTACTGGGTTTGGTATTCCCTTAGATGGAGGCCAGGGTCAGCTGAATTGTTTGGTCCCTTGAAGAAATTTCTGTGCTATCCCAATTGGTAGCCACTAGCCACATGTAGCTATTAAATCTAAATTAAAAGTAAATAAAATTTAAAATTCTGTTTCTGTCCAGGTGCAATGGCTCACTCCTATAATCCCAGCACTCTGGGAAGCTGAGACAGGTGGATCATTTGAGGTCAGGAGTTTGAGACCAGCCTGGCCAACATAGTGAAACCCTGTCTACTGAAAATTAAAAAAAATAAAAATAGACGGGCATCGTGGTGCACACCTGTAATCCCAGCTACTCGGGAGGCTGAGGCATGAGAATCACCTAATCCAGGAGGCAGAAGTTGCAGTGAGCCGAGATGGCGCCACTGTACTCCAGCCTGGGGACAGAGTGAAAAAAATAAAATAAAATAAGTTTCTTAGTTACGCTAGGCACATTTTAAGTGCTCAGTAGCCACTTATGGCTACTGACTACCACTGTATTCGACAGTGTAGAACTGCATACATTTCCATCATCATAGAAAGTTCCAGTGGACAGGCCGGGCGCGGTGGCTCAAGCCTGTAATCCCAGCACTTTGGGAGGCCGAGGCGGGTGGATCACGAGGTCAGGAGATCGAGACCATCCTGGCTAACATGGTGAAACCCCGTCTCTACTAAAAATACAAAAAACTAGCCGGGCGTGGTGGCGGGCGCCTGTAGTCCCAGCTACTCGGAGGCTGAGGCAGGAGAATGGCGTGAACCTGGGAGGCGGAGCTTGCAGTGAGCCGAGATCGCGCCACTGCACTCCAGCCTGGGTGACACAGCGCGAGACTCCGTCTCAAAAAAAAAAAAAGAAAGTTCCAGTGGACAATGATGGATTCCAGATGATCCTCTTGGAGCCTGTAGGGGAGGGGAGGAAGGAAATAGGTGGGTAGGACTGGGCCTCCACCCCCAGTTCAACCAGAGGCACTTTGCCTATAAATTCAGATTTCAAGTTAGATTTCATTTGGGAAAAAAAAAAAAAAAACTTGTATGACTTTTTAAATACTTTTTGAAAAGGTAGTAAATACAGACTATATTTAAAATGAACAGATTATGAAAAAAGACATCTCCTTGCCATCCCATAACCTTCAGACCACTAGTTAGCAGCTTGTGGAAACTACACCTGTTCTGCAGCTTGCTTTTTTTTTTTTTTTTTCTATTTATCCTGGATCTTGTTCATATTGGTACCTAGAGATGTAACAGCTACATACTATTCCACTGTGTGGATGTGCCTTCGGTTACCTAGCCAGGTCCTGTGATGGACATTCAGGTCATTTCCTGTCTTCTGCTACTACAAACTATGTTGTGATGAGCAAATATCCTTGAGTTTAGGCATCTGTGGATGTATCACTATTAGGGGAATTGCTGGATCAAAGACCGTGTGCATTTTAAACTTTAACATCTATTGCTGAATTGCATGCCCCGTGCCCAAAAGAGATGGTAACAACAAGAAGGTCTTTTCCCCACACCTTCCACCAGGCTACTGTGATCAGGCCTGCAGGTGTCCTGCAGGGTAACGGTGGCTTATCTTGGAAGGGGGTTGCCATTGCCTCCCCACAGCCCTGGCGCCCATTCTACCCACTCACTCTCTCTTCATGTCACTCCTTCCTGCCACCAAGAATAGTTAACTTTTCATTTAAAACAATTTTAATGGACTAGTTAACATTTGACTGGGCACTCATCAGACCCTTGGGTACGAATCCTACTCAGCCTGACCCTGCTCATTCAATTCACAGATTTGTCCTTTACCTCAGTGTTTCATGGACTCTTCACAACAACCTCCTGTGGCAGGTACCATTATTATTCCCATTCTACAGAGGAGAAGCCTGAGGTTTAGCAATTAACTCACTGGTTCACAGTCACCCAGCTGGTTAGTAGCAGAGTTAGGATCCAGTCCCAGGTCTGTCACCCCACAGCCTATGCTTAGTTCCAACAGGCTGCCCCACTCACCCGCTTCCCGTCACCCCTCCTCCTTTCATGGACACCAGCTCTCCCTCCTGCCCTCGGGCCCTGTTAAATACCCCACCTCTCTTAGGTGTCTTTGCTGAAGTGCCCACAAGCCTTCACTCCCTGCCCACTCTCTCCCTCTTAAGGTCAGGGCATACACCTCCATCCGGACCCTTCCTCCCTCACTGCCTTGGCTTCCTCTACTCTTGGCCTTGGGACTGCCCCACCTGAACTCCTGGGTCGGCCCAGCCCTCCCCCAGGTGATCGCCTCAGCCTACAGGGGCTGAGAGCTGGGGAGGGCGAAGCAACGGCTTCCATCACCTGACCCTACTCAGCCAATTCACGAAGACAAGATGTCAAGTTAATGAGCCTGTGGGCCTCTAATTAGCTGTCAATTACCTCAAATTAATCACCTCCTCGCCTAATTAAGCATTATCGGCAGGTGGGCACAAAGCAGACCATTGTGTGAGAGCCATGAGAAAAGCTGGGCTGGCAAACTTGGTTAGGATCAGCTCTGTGCACTGCGCCCGCCTCCCCACCGCGCTCAGCCATGGGCCCAGCTGAGAGGCCCTGGGGCCCGTTGCCCACCACTGTCCCCAGACACTGGGGTACTTGGGGACCTCCTGGGAAGCTGAGTGGACTGGGAGGGAGGTGCAGAGCCTAGAGGCAGGTGAGACAGCTTTGGGGCAGTGGGGTGGTAGGAACTGGAGGCCATGGAGAAGGGCGGGGCTTCAAGGCATGGAGACCAGCTCCTGGCACTTACTGAGAGCTGAGATGGGAGCTGGGCAGAGGGGATGCCAGGTCGTGGCTGGGCATCCAGGCCTGGGCGGGCAGGCAGAGCTGGCTTCCGATGCTGGCCTGGCCACTTGTGAGTTCTGTGACCCCAGGAAGAGACTTAATGTTTTTGAGTCACACTTTCCATCCCTGGAAAGAAAATTTTTTTGTTCTAAACACTGTCCTGGGTCTTTGTGAGGGTTCAGTGGGATCATGCTTGTGGAGCGCCCGCCACATGGTAAATATTCAATGTCTTTAGTAGTGATGACAGTGGACATGGGTGGTTTAAGACCCAGGACCACCTCACATAACAACTGCCGAAGCTGTATTGTATCCCCAAATTCTAAGCCCCCAGATCTCAAGCATGTAGTGCACCCCTGAAAAATGTGAATGGACTGGCCAGGCGTGATGGCTCACGGCTGTAATCCCAGCACTTTGGGAGGCCGAGGCGAGAGGATCACCTGAGATCAGGAGCTCAAGACCAGCCTGGCCAACATGGAGAAACCCCGTTTCTACCAAAAATACAAAAATTAGTCTGGTGTGGTGGCGGGCGCCTGTAATCCCAGCTATGCAGGAGGCTAAGGCAAGAGAATTGCTTGAACCTGGGAGGCAGAGGTTGCAGTGAGCTGAGATCGCGCCACTGCACTCCAGCCTGGGCAACAGAGTGAGACTGTCTCAAAAAAAAAAAAAAAAGGAAAGAAAAAAGAAAAATGTGAATGGGCTGCTAGCACGCACGGTTGCTGGATGCTGGGCTATCTGGCTACCACTTCCTCTCCACTCCCTCCCCATCACCCAGTGCCTTCCAGGGATCACAGCTCCACTCACAAAGGGCTCTTGGTGCCATATGGAGCTCACCAGATGAGAAGACCACAGTTCTCTAGAGACCAGGAAGAAGACAGCCCCTTGGGTCTTGGGGCTGCAGGGCCTAAATCAAGGGGGGGTCTCCAGGCAGCCCCTGGGCACTGAGTTCATGCCCCAACCATGGTCCTGGGAGGCTGAACAGAGTTCCCACTCTCCTCAGCACAGGGCAGGGTGAGGCCGGTGGCCACCTGGGCAGCTCTGCGCTCCCACTGACTGTCAAATGCCACCACTCCCATGCCAGGTCTGTCCACTGAACCCACCCTAACCATCCCTTGTAATCTGTACCCGCTACTTCAGCCCTGGCACAGGAAGACCTTTCCCTGTCTCCTGTGGCAACAGAGACCCTCAGCCTCTCTGCCGTGAAAGCTTGGAAACATCTTCCCCTCCCGGGTCTCGGTCATTTAGCAAACATTGTACCTTACTAATGAAGCTCAGCGTAAAGGGCTGATGGTCGGGTGAACACAAATCACTAATGCATGCTCTGGAGAGACCAATAACAAAAGGGGGCTAGCACTTATTAAGTGCCTACTGTGTGCTGACAGGAGTGGTAAGAGATTCAGTGAATGTATTACACCTGTATATACTGTTATGTTTAATGAATTATTTATCAAAAAAGGTAATACATGTACACACCATTTTTTAAACTAAAGGGTGTAGAGGAATCCATAGGCTTCCCTCACTCCCCTGCCCTCCAGCCATCTGATTCCCTTTCCCACAACCAACCAGTAACCAGTTTTTCATATACTTTTCCAGAAATTAAAAAATATTTATATGTATATATATATTTCATTTTCACAAGTAGAAATAAAACATACTGTCCGTCTTCCTTTTTAAAAAATAATACTGTCGGCTGGGTGTGGTGGCTCATGTCTGTAATCCCAGCAATTTGGGAGGCCAAGGCAGGTGGATCACCTGAGGTCAGGAGCTCGAGATCAGCCTGACCAACATAGAGAAACCCCATCTCTACTAAAAATACAAAATTAGCCTGGCATGGTCGCACATGCCTGTAATCCCAGCTACTCAGGAAGCTAAGGCAGGAGAATAGCTTGAACCCAGGAGGCGGAGGTTGCAGTGAGACGAGATCGCACCATTGCACTCCAGCCTGGGCAACAAAAGCGAAACTCCGTCTAATAAATAAATAAATAAATAAATACTGTCTTGGAGATTGAATGTGGAATAGCAGCACAGTATTCCACTGCATAAACGTGAACTTTTTTCTTCTTTTTAAAATTACATGAAAGTTGGTCAGGTGCAGTGGCTCACACCTAGGAGCGTCTGTCCGTTAGCTTGTATGTCTGTCCAAATGGAAGTGCCTCCCTGGGCTGGGTGCGGTGGCTCATGCCTGTAATCCCAGTACTTTGGGAGGCCAAGGCAGGAGGATCACTTGAGCCCAGAAGATCGAGGCTGCAGTGAGCCTTGGAGGCATTGCCATACTCCAGCCTGGGCGACAAAGCAAGACCCCGTCTCTAAAAAATGGGGTGATGGGGCTCTTCCGAGTGAAAAGGTGGAACTACTGACTTAATCCCACCCTGTCAGTTCGTCATGAGGAAACAGGCTAGAAAAGGGATTGACTTGTCCATAGTCTGGAGCTGCCTTGTCAGATTCTCCCAGGTACCACTTGAGCACGTGGAGGGGCTGGCATTAGCCGTGCACACTGGGCAAATGCTCCACCGCCCTCCCTGCTCTGCTGGGCTTGGGATGAGTATGCAGTGGGTGACACGTCCCTGATGTGTTTTGCCTTCAAGGAGGCCCTTTATTTATTCATTTATTTATTTATGTACAGCTGAGTCTCACTCTGTCACCCAGGCTGGAGTGCAGTGGTGCTACCTCAGCTCATTGCAACCTCCGCCTCCCGGATTCAAGCAATTCTCCTGCCTCAGTCTCTTGAGTAGCTGGGATTACAGGCATCCGCCACCATGCCTGGCTAACTTTTGTATTTTAGTAGAGACAGGGTTTCACCATGTTGGCCAGGCTGGTCTCGAACTCCTGACCTCAAATGATCTGCCAGCCTTGGCCTCCCAAAGCGCTGGGATTACAGGCGTGAGCCACCGAACCTGGCCCAGAGAGGCACTTCCATTCGGACAGATGTACAAGCTAACGGACAGACGCTCCTAGGATGGGTGCTGTGTATTGCTTAAGAAGGGGAGCCTTTGAGGACCCTTGAAATCCCTCCCCTCTGAAGCTTTGGAGGAAGGCGGACTGGCCCAGATTCCCGGACCAGCATCGCCACCTGCCTCTCTGGTCTCCTCCCACCCCAAGGGAGGTCGCGCGGCCACCGCTAGAGGGAGCCGGGAGCGGCCCCGCTTGTGGCTTCTCTCAGGCGCTGCCTTTCACCCGCCTCGCAGGGGCTGCGAGGCTCCGACAAGACTGGTCCCCTCTTGTCATTAGGCCCTAGGCCCGCAGCGCTCCACGGCCCCGACCTCTAGGAGGTGCCCAGCACCAACAGGCCGACGCTATGCCTCCTACCCAGCCCTCCGCTGTGAAAACCCTAACGCAGATCGGCTACTGCCCCCATTTTACTAATTAGGACACAGAGAGGCTGACAGATGTGCCTTGGGTCACACAGCTAATGCGTGGCAGAGCCAGAAACCCAGGGGGCCTGGCTCCGGACCCCCATGCCTCAGAGGATCTCAAGCACCTTCCTGTAGCCTTCTGTTCAAGGGGAAACTGAGGCACAGAGCAAGTCTAGAGCGTACTGTGTGGGTGGCCCAGTCTGTCAAGGACCAACTGGAGGCTAAAGCTAGGCGGCCAGCCCCTAGGCAGATGACCACAGCAGAAAAGCCTGTGGGGAGAAGAGGTGCCAGCCTGCCCCAAGGTGGGCTGTTGGTGCCTCCCAGGATGGGTGACAGCTGCAGCCTTGGGTGGGAGGCCAGAGGCCCCACACGATAATAACTTTCACTCACTGCCCAAGAGCTAATCCCATTACTTTGCATGGACCCTCTGGGACCACCTCCCTAACCCTCCTTAATCCCCTGTCTCCCTCTGGGAATGGTCCAAGGGCCTCCCTGCCAGCCCATGCCAGCCCCAGGCACAGGCAGACCTTGCCCCTCAAGCTCTGTCAGACAACCTGTGCCCATGAATGCCCATCTGTGCCTGATTCTTGGGGCCCCAAAGGGACAGCCAAGAAGGGTGGAGGTCACACCTCTCTCACCCACCTTCCCTGCCATCCCTGACCTGCCTGCCAGTCCCCAAGGCTCCTTCCCAAGATAGCCTCCGGCTGGGATCCAGGTTTTCTGAGCCTTGTGTTCCTTTCTAAGCAGGCTTCTGGGGCTTGTTATCGTTTTTGTTGAAGGAATTGGCAGGAGAGAGCTTGGGTCCACAGTATACTCATCTGTAAAATGGACACAATCGCCCCCGCGTTCTATAATCGTTCTGAGGATACAAGGAGACGCTATGAGACACTGAGGACACAATGAGACACAAACCTCTAGAGTGTTATTATCAGTGGTACAGAGCTGTCTTTAGATATGCAAAGGATGTGGATTTCTTTAGTGTGTTACCAGAGGGAAGCTCCATGGCCAGAAGGCGGATGTTAGAGAGGAAGATTTTAAAAGATACACACCGTCCTATAATGGTGATAAGAACTGCCATGTACTTGTCTTGGTCTCTTCCTAAGGTGCCAGGCACTTAAGCTTCACAGCACCCTATGAGGTAGGTACTGTCATTACCTGCGTTTTGCAGATGTGGGAACTAAGGTTAGGAAACGCCACACAGTGGTGGAGTTGGAATCAAAAACAGCTCTGACTCCAGAATTTTCTGGGGCATTCTGCCTCTCAGGATCTGCTTCTAAAAGGGGGAGCTGATGTCTGAGAGATACCCCCACCTCCAAAGTAGTGAGATCCCCATTTGCCAGAAGTGTTCAAGGTGATGCTGAGGGGCCACACCAGGAACCACCAGTCAGGAACCCTGAGGTCCCGTGGCAGCCCCCAATCCTCCCAGCATTCCCAGGCGCCCGTTTCCAGGATAAGCCAGGCCACTGCCCCCTCCCCAGCCTGGACACTGGGGGGGCTCCCTTTGGCGCCCTGGGCCTCCCTCTCCCCCACCTTCTGCTGCTCCTCATTTACATAAATTATCTCTCTCCAATTATCCATCCAGCTGTCCCAACGGTGATCTGTGAATGAATTAAAAATGGAATATAATTTAATAATGGCTGATTAGAAGGAGATTAGTTGTTATATAAAAATGAAAAGCCAAGAGCCAGCTAGTTGCCCTTAATCTGAGCCAATACCATCGTTATTCCGGAAAGGCCACCCTGGCCACCATCAGGCAAGGCAGGCAGACACGGGGACAAAGATTGGGGGAGAGCCAGGTGGGGCCAGACCACCCCAGAGAGAAGACAGAGCACTGGGAGCTTGGAATTTGCAGCACCTCTGAGCTGTGGGGCGTGGGCATCTCCTGTGGCTTCCTTCAAAACAGGTTTGGGTGGCTTCTGGGGTCCCTTTTTGCTCTAAATTCTAGGCACCCTCAGATCAAACCACTGGACTTTCCCAAGGCAGCCACTGACTTACACCAGACCCTGCTGGCATAGAATCTGGGGTTCAGGCGTCTTGTTCCTGTTCAGGCCCCGCCTCTAAGAACATATAGCAGTTGGGAACACAGACCTCCCCGGAGGGGGTCTGCCTGTCTAGGATAGGTGGTCAGAGAGGGTCTCAAGTTTAGTTGACCCAGAAGGTCCATGGAGGATGGACTGGCTGAGACGAAGAAAGGTGAGTGTGCCCAGTGGGACCTCTGGGCCATCTGAACCTCACGTTAATGACTCGATCTAGTGAAGGGGACTAGTGCCCCTCCTCCAGGAAGCCTGCCCTAATCTCCTGGGCTTTGGGGTGTCCCCGGTATTTCTATAATGCCCTATGTTTTCTCCATCAGTGCACTGAGCACTGCCTCTGGGGTGTTCATGCCCCCCTGTTTGTGAGCTCCATGGCTGTTTCTTCTCTGTATCACCAGTGTTGGGCACACAGTGGTTGTTCTACCACATCGTTGAACAAATACAGACATCACCTCCAAAAAGCCTCTGTGATTGCCCTAGTGTAGGTTACGCGCTCCTTTCTTTGTTCCCAAACACACTGTGATTATGCCTTTAAAAATAAGGCAAGTCATTGCTGTGGAGAATATAGAGAAATACAAAATTTTAGGTAAAGATGGATAGATGGAGATAGAGCAAAGTGGTTAAGAGGACCAGTTTAGAGTCAGACTGCCTAGGTATGCATTTCAGGTCCACCTCTTATTGCTGTATGACCTGGGTGGGGCATGTTACTAATCTCTCTGTGCCTCAGTTTCCTCATCTATACAATGGGTGTATATAGTACCTACTCCATAGGATTTTGTGAGAATTAAGTGGAAGCACTTGTGGTTCTTATAATGCTTGTCACACTGTTTAGTACTTGACCACTGACTGGTCTGTTTCCTCCCCAGGCATGGGCTGTCATCTCTGTTGATGGTGCTGGCTGGACAGTGGGCCTGCACAAAGCCATCCCAACAGCCCTAGCTGCTGCTCTCACACTGCAGGGCCCACAGGGACACAACACTGTGGCAGGACCAGAATGTTTCACTGACCTCGGGCCTTCCTGAAGAGTCACAGCTCATGGACTGTGACATGCCCATGGAGAGGGGTCTGAGCCCCGAGGCTCGGGTCTGGGCAGCAAGGCCTGTGTGACTGACATAAGAGGATATCTGCTAGGCCTGAGCTTGCACAAAAGGAATGAAAGGCCTGGGTGGTCAGAGGAGATGGGCATCCAGACCAGGAAGGGAAGGCTGAAGAGCTCTCTGCAGCAGCTGACTCAGGCCTCTGGGGCCACCATGGAGCAGACAGCAAAGGAAATATTGTCCACAGTACCAGAGGCTGGGAATGAATGGAGTGGACACCGGAGGAGGCTGATTCTCTCAAAATGAGAGGCAGTACAGATTGTGCACAGCAAGTGTTTGTTGATTGGCTAACTGAGCTGCACCAGATTTTTCTAAAATTTGTTAGTCAAGAAAATCTTGATTTCTTATGTTTGTGGAAGAGCCTGGGAATCTGCACATTTGATAAGAGCCCCCGGTGAGTCTCATGAACAGGAGGTTTTGACCCCAAATCCCATCTGTCCCTCAGTCACTGCTGCAGTGCCCTCTGGGAGTGGGGGCTGACTGGTGACCTCCACCTTGCCCATTACCCTCTGACACTCACTCCCATCTCCCCAGTCTCAGCCTCAGTCACTCCCAGGACAATCTCCCTTGTGAAGCCTGAGCACATCCGTCCATATTGCAGCCGGGGGAGGCCTCCCAGACCAGCCCAGGCTGTGGGATAATTTGATATTCAAATCCTGGCAAAGACCTGCTTCAAATTGCTGCAAATTAAGCTGATTTTGCCCCTCTGAATGAGGGATTTGCTCCTGTGGATCAACCCTCTTCCCAGGACTTGATGAGGTCAGGATTAGAGACGGGGAGAAAAAGCCTGAGGCTGGGGCCGGAGAGCTGGAGAGCTGAGGGGCGGGGGGAGCTGAGACCCTGGAGTTAGCGAAGGTTCCCAGGGTCTCAAAAGGCAGCTCTACCCAGTGATGGCGCAGCCTCTGAGGCCCAAATGGGTCAGTTCCACTCCTCCATCCCCCCAGGAGAACACAGCTCTGTTCCCAAAGCAGTTTGTGGACCTCATCCAATCTTTCCAAGCACCTGTGTCCCAGGGCGGAACTGATCACCCCCATTTCACTGATGAAAGGGGAGATGAGGCTCTATTAGCAAAGACAATCTGGACTCAACCACTGCCACCAACTTGCTATGTGACCTTGAGCAAGTGACCTCTCTGAGCCTCCTTGTAAGGATGACTGGTGATGCATGCACAGTGCCAGGCACATAGCAAGCCCTCCATAGCATGGGTCAATGTTCCTAGCCAAAGCCCTGAAGCTAGAAAATAGCTGGAGGGAGAACGTGGGGCTCTCTAGACCTCAGGAGGAGTCAGTCCCCTGCCTTCTGGAGTTCCGTGCCTTCTCCCAACTCTACCCCCTCCTGACAGGACCTCCCCCATCCCTGGCAGAACCTCATTTCCATCTGTTTTATCAGGGCCTGTACTGTATATTGCAGCAATTTCGAATTGCACCATTAAAGATTTTATGCTGGAGACGTTAAAATTAAAAAGATCTATGTGCAAAGAGTCACAACGAATTTAATCAACTTGATTTAATAGAAAACAGCAAATGGAATTTATGATGCTCCAAAAGACAAGGGAATTTTTTTTCAACAAAAAATAATAAAAAGCACTTTGTGGAAAACAGAAAGTGGAGTGGGGTGGGGGTGGGGGCTCCCCATCTGAGAGTTGATCAGAACCTAATCCGCCGCGGACAACCCCAGTCGGGGCTGTTTGCCCACTAATCCCAGCTGCCATTAAAATATTAAAGATAAATCTAATCGTCTCTTTATCCAAAATAAGCGACTTTTGTGTGGGGAGAAAACATCTAACCCTTTGGGAGGAGAATTAGTCCTAATGCATCAAATGGAATTCGGTCCAGGCAGGGGCAGAATAGGGTTTAGAGGCAAATGAGATGGTAATAGAAATAAAACCCAGAATAACAAATTAAAAACCCTCATTTACACGAATTAAAACGGCTCACAAAAGAGCTGGAGGCCCAGCCCTGCCCTTCTCGGCCCCAGGCCCATTCCCCCCTCCTCTGGTCTCACCCACCGCAGGCCCCAGAGGAGCCAAGGCCTGACCTCATCCTCGCAACTTTTGCCCCACACCCTCCTGGATACTTACAGGAAGATGCACCCAACATCCGCTCTCCAAGCCCAGGCACAGGCTCGGTTTCTGAAGGCTCTCACCGAGTCTTCATTCATCTCCCCATCTCCCCTTCACCGGCTTTGGGGTCATACAGAACTTCGTGCTTGTCCCACTGCCCTCTCCTACTATGTGAGGTCTTGATTTGTTTCTATTTATTTATTTAAAGCGTATTTTTTAGAGACAGAGCCTCACTCTGTTGCCCAGGCTGGTGTGCAGTGACTCAATCATATCTCACTGCAGCCTCAAACTCCTGGGCTCAAGTGATCTTCCTGCCTCAGCCTCCCGAGTAGCTGGGACTACAGGTGTGCATCACCATGCCTGTCTATTCTTTTTTTTTTTTTTTTGGTAGAGATGGGATCTTGCTATGTTGCCCAGGCTAGTCTCAAACTCCTGGGCTCAAGTGATACACTGGCCTCAGCCTCCCAGAGTGCTAGGATTAGAGGCTAGAGGCGTCAGCCACCACGCCTGGTCCTAGTTTTATTTCTTAAACCCCCTGAGCCCCTATTACTTGGGGAAAATGAGGATAATAACGGCTCCTGTCCTCACACAGCCCTTCTCCTCAGCCTTGACCCCCACTGCTGCTCCCTGGCCTGGCTCCATGGAATTTGATGAGGCAGCAGCATATGGAAGGCCCAGCACTGTGTCTGATCCATGGGGACTGCTCGATCACAAGCTCTCACTGGAGTTTCCCCTGAAAGGATTCTTAGTCAGCTCAGCACTGAAGGACCCTAGGGACGTCGGGCCTCTGTCCCTGGGAGGAAGGACGCCTAGCAATGGGCCCGCCAGGGGGGCAGAGGGAGCAGGCAGCAGCCAGTTTGAGTAACTACGTGGGGTCACCCCCTGAGTTGTCACTCGTGGGGGCTGAGGCCACCCCAGATCTTCAGGGTTCTCCCTAAGCAGCCCCTTGCCCCACAAGGTTGCCTCAAGTTTGGCCCTGTGGCTCCTCCTGCATACCCTCCCCCAAACTGGAAACCCCTCCCCACCTTCTGCTCAAGGTCTGGATCCCCTCATATGAATAGCCTGCTCTCTGCCTTGGTGGCTGGACACTTCTCAAAGGAGACACATGCTCCCTCGGGAGGCTCCAGGGCCCTCTGTGAGCCATCACAGATTCATGAGGCCTCGGTACAGACAAGTGTGACAAACCCCTTCCTGAGAGCCTGTTTGGCCTGCCGAGGGGAGAGGGTGAGGAGGGGGCCCTTGTGCCCGAGTAACCCCCACCACACATACCCTACTGGAGCCCCCACACCAGGAGGGCCGGAATACACCTCTGACCTCCCCAGCCTTCCTGACAAATCCACTTGAACAGGAAACTCATGTTGACAGCATTCTATTATGGGATATTAAGTGGAATTGGATTGTGGGGCTAAACCTTTCCCTGGCTGGGTTTCTGCATTCGGTTGGCCTCCTCCCCTCTGCGCCTACCACAGTCGTTCCCTCCAGCAGGGCTCAGACGGGAGGGAGGGGGTTTCCTGCCCACCTTCGTCAAATTCTTCCCCCAGACTCTCTCCCTGACCCTTGGACTATGACAAATGGTGATTCTAGTAGTGATTTTCAAGAGAAAATTGGGCTGTGGCTGTGTGAGAGTGGGTGACCTTCTTCCCAACGTCTTCCCAGGATGGCTAAAAGAAAACATGAGGATGACTGGGCGCAGTGGCCCACGCCTGTAATCCCAGCACTTTGGGAGGCCGAGGCGGGCAGACCACCTGAGGTTAGAAATTCAAGACCAGCCTGGCCAACATGGTGAAGCCTTGTCTCTACTGAAAATACAAAAATTAACTGGGCCTGGTGGCGCGTGCCTGTAATCCCAGCTACTTGGAGGCCGAGGTAGGAGAATCACTTGAACCTGGGAGGCGGAGGTTGCAGTGAGCCCAGAGTGTGCCACTGCACTCTAATCAGGGCGACAAGAGCAAAACTCATCCAAAAAAAAAAAAAAAAGAGAAAGGAAGAAAGGAAGAAAGAAAAGAAAGAAGGGAGGGAAGGAGGAGGAAGGAAGAGGAGAGAGAAAGAGAAGAAAGAGACAGAGAAGAAAGGAAGAAAAAGAAAGAGTAAGACAGAAAGAGAAAGGGAAGGAAGAAGGAGAAGGAAGGAAGGAAGGAAGAAGGAAGGGAAGAAGAAAGAAAAAGAAAGAAAAAAGAAAGAAAAGAAAGAAAGAAAGAAAGAAAGAAAGAAGAAAGAAAGAAGAAAGAAAAAGAAGACGGACATGGCGCGGCGCGGTGGCTCACGCCTGTAATCCCAGCCTTTGGGAGGCCGAGATGGGCGGATCACGAGGTCAGGAGATCGAGGACCATCCTGGCTAACACGGGTGAAACCCCGTCTCTACTAAAAATACAAAAAAACTAGCCGGGCGAGGGTGACGGGCGCCTGTAGTCCCAGCTACGGGGGGAGGCTGAGGCAGGAGAATGGCGTGAACCTGGGAGGCGGAGCTTGCAGTGAGCTGAGATCGCGTCACTGCACTCCAGCCTGGGCGACAGAGCGAGACCTCCGTCTCAAAAAAAAAAAAGAAAGAAAGAAAACATGAGGAGATGGTGGGCAGGGTGGGATTTTTCCAGAGGGGTGTCCTAAGCCTAAGGTTTGGTGGAAAAGCGTTGGGAGGTGATGGTCACAGGCAAAGGAGCTGGGGCCTCACTGCTGCAGGCCAGTGATCATTCTAGCTTTGTAGTTCAGGCCCCCTGTTGCCTCCTCTAGGAAGTTTTTCCTGCATGGCCCATATTAAAAAGGGGAAACTGAGGCATGGTGAAAGCTAAGTTGCCAGGTCACACAGCTAGCAGGTGGTAAACGGGGGAATTGAGCCCAGGACTGTGTAAGTTAAGAGCCAGTGTCATTAACCACTACACTACACCACGCTGCCTTGTGGGTGATCTTTTCTTTTTTATTTTTTTGGAGACAGAGTTTTGCTCTGTCACCCAGGCTGGAGTGCAATGGCTTGATCTCGGCTCACTGCAACCTCCGATTCCCAGGTTCAAGCAATTCTCCTCCTGAGGAGGAGAATCAGCCTCCCGAGTAGCTGGGACTACAGGCATGTGCTACCACATCCAGCTAATTTTTTGTATTTTTAGTAAAAACGGGGTTTCACCATATTGGCCAGGCTGGTCTCAAATTCCTGACCTCAGGTGATACATCCGCCTCGGCCTCCCAAAGTGCTGGGATTACAAGTGTGAGCCACCGCGCCTGGCCCTTGTGGGTGATCCTGGCCTGGAGGAGATCCGGAAGAAGGAAAGGCGGAAAGACCCAGCACGCACAGCGCGCCAGGGCCTGTCTGCATGCTTCATTTCCATCATGTCCCTATGTCCTCTCAGTCTCACTGCAGAGCAGGTTCTCAAAAGAGATTCCCATTTTACAGAAGGAAAAACAGAATCAAAGAGGTTAAGGGAGCCCTTTCGCCACCTTTGTTCACGTTACAGGCCTTCCTCGGGAGCCCTCTCTTCCTCCCCCTAACACCTTGCCAAGTAATGCCGGCCTGTCTTCATGCTCATAACAGTGTTCTGGGCAGTCTTCCCAGATGCCCCTTTTCTGAGACCTTGGCCCTGGCCCTCCACCTCCACCCTACCAGCCTTGCCATCTTCTCTCCCACCCCAAGTCCCCCCAGAACATGGCCATTTGCACCCCACCTCCCAGTCTTGCCCTTTGCCACCCACAGGCTTCTGTGCTCTGTCCCTGGCCAGTCACTGAGTGCAATGAGGCAGAGGCCCCGGCACGATCCCCCCATGGACCCATCCCAGTGCCAGGGTTTGGCGAGGCATTGAGGGCAATGGGTGGTTCTATAGGTGGGCTCTGTTGGCCTTCAGAGGAAAGGACTTGAGCTTGAGTCAGGGAACACCCACAGACATTTAGTAAAGGTGTATCAGAGAGGGATAGAAGACATTTGGGACATATTACAATGTATTCAGGGAGGAAGAAAGTTTACAAAACAGTATACAGAAAGGTCACTTTTTAAAAAATAGAAACAAAGTCTCACTATGCTGCCCAGGCTTGTCTCAAACTCTTGGGCTCAAGTGATCCTCTTGCCTCAGCCTCCTGTGTAGCTGGGATTACAGGTGTGAGCCACTGCGCCTGGCTCCCCATTTTTGGGAATACAAGTACTTACATGTTTAGAAAGCTGCCAAGCAACAGGTAAACCAAAATAGTAATGGCAGTTATCTCTGGATGATTTTAATGTTTTTCTTTTTATTTATCAGTAGTTTCTTATTTTTCACCATGAACATGTATTACTTGTATAATAATAATAAAAGTATGTTGGAATGAGGTTTTCCTGACAAGGCACTTTTCAGAATCTTGGTGATTCGTCTAAGTCTTTTTTTTTTTTTTTTTTTTTTCCTGCCCAGGCTGGAGTGC